TAGTGGGTTTGTATTTTAACCAGAGAGATAAACATTAAACACTAAATCAGGTAGTATTTAATTATACTGTGAAAACTGCATCACAGTAGAACTACAAGGTACTCAAAGCCTAGAAAACAAAGGTGCTGACTAAAGGCTACATGGTGAAGGGAGACTTGCAGGAACTTGAGACTTAATAAATTAAAGAGGAAGAGTTTGTGGGGCACCTGGGTGGCTCAGGCAGTTAAGCGTCTGGCTTCAGCTCAGGTCATGATCTCAAAGTTCATGAGTTTGAGCTTTGCTTCGGGCTCTGTGCTGACAGCTTAGAGCCTGGAGCTTGCTTCGGAATCTGTGTCTCCCTCTTTCTCTGCTTCTCCCCCACTCACGCTCTGTCTCTGTCTCAAAAATAAAAATGCATTAAATTTTTTTTTTTAAAGAAGAAGAGTTTGTGAGGAATGTTCTAGGCAAACAGAAGATCCAAGCCTTAAGACAGGAAGGAATAGTGGTGGAGTTGTAAAGCTAAAGCACATTTAGAATTGGAATCCAGAGTACTTATCATAGCACACAAGCCCTTGGTCATCTCATTTTATAAATCTCCACTTCACCCCTGAAGTCATAAACACATAGACAGTAAATTAAGCCACACGATTGTTGGAATTATCTAGGATGGTACAAAGACAACTCAGTCAATAACAAAACTCTGAGAAAGTCTTAACAGTCAATGTGTAGGTAAAGAAGGTTGAAATAGCAAAGGGGACTAAGAGTCAATGGTCAAAGTGGTATTAGAGACTTTTTTTTTTTAATTTTTCTTTCAACGTTTTTTATTTATTTTTGGGACAGAGAGAGACAGAGCATGAACGGGGGAGGGGCAGAGAGAGAGGGAGACACAGAGTCGGAAACAGGCTCCAGGCTCTGAGCCATCAGCCCAGAGCCCGACGCGGGGCTCGAACCCACGGACCGCGAGAGCGTGACCTGGCTGAAGTCGGACGCTTAACCGACTGCGCCACCCAGGCGCCCCGGTATTAGAGACTTTAAGGCAAAGAAAGGGAGTGACTAGACATGTCAAGTGCTGCTGAAGGCTAAAGCAGGATCAAGTCGGACAGATGGAAGTTTTCAAACTGGGATGGATGCTATGTAGAAAAAAAGGGGAAATGAGCCTTGGACGCTGGTGGATATAGAGAAAGTAGAACGATCAATGGAGCCCAGGTTCCAATGAGGTCCAAGAATTGTCCTGGTGGAAAAAACAGTGTTGGAGATGGGAGCTTGGCTTGAGTACAGACAATAAAAGATAGGAGATTAGGTGAGGGAGGAAGACACTTAGTGATTTTGGAGGGGGAAAAGGTTATTATGACAGGTTTCAGGTGTGGCTCTGGAAGTGAAAGTCTAAGGGAGAGAAATGGAAAGTTCATTCATAATAAGGAGATCCAGTCGGTGTTGAATAGAATGTCTTCGTAAATATGAACATCATCCAGGATCATGGGAATGGAAGGAAAAACAATAATCCCGTCTTTTTTTATGAAGAATGGATTGTGACTAGAGATTGGTAGATGGATGATACCAACAAGAAGGGAGATGGTGCCTACCTAGCTGGCAGGAATATCAAAGCAGTGGGGATTTTTAGCAAGGAGGTAAGGGTGCAGTGGACAGTACTATGGCAAGAATATCAACTTGAGGCTATCTAGGGGCACCTGGGTGGCTCAGTCGGTTAAGCGTCCGGCTTCAGCTCAGGTCATGATCTAACACTCCGTGAGATCGAGTCCTGCGTTAGGCTCTGTGCTGACAGCTCAGAGCCTGGAGCCTGCTTCAGATTCTGTGTCTCCCTCTCTCTCTCTGACCCTCCCCCATTCATGCTCTGTCTCTCTCTGTCTCAACAATAAACATTAAAAAAAAAAAAAGAATATCAACTTGAGGCTGTCTAGAGTGTGGAGGAATAAGCAGCATCTTCATTTGTAGGAGAAGTGCTATCCTCAATGGAGAATGGAATTTTAGTCAAGGTAGGGAGGTAGTGACAATGTTCTAAAAGAAAGTTGAATATGTAGTGAAAACTGCAAACTATGGAGCAAAGTTCTGAAGGCATCTGAGAGAATCTGAGAGATAAGAAGGAAGAGAAAGAGGAAGGGATTGATGCTTAATGGAAGGCATTTGGGCAATGAAAAATGGAGCATTGTGGAGATTTTTTGAAGCAGAAAATTAGTACCTGTGGATGGTTTGAAAAGCCAGGAACTGGAGGGAGAGACTGACTTTAAGTAAACAAGGTTGAGAGAACACAGCAGGATCAACAGTTTAAGACACATCTAACTCCTTTTACGTTAGGACTAGGGAATAGGAACCAGACTGTAACAAGTAAAAAAAAGGAGAGGTTGAAAACTTGACATGGCTCCACTAGAGGAGACCAGTGTGGGGACTGCCTTTATTTAGCAAAGTGGGGTTCTTAATTATTGAAATGCTAATGTATTTATAAAATGCTCAATCTGCCAGAGATTTGCACCAAGATGCACCAGACCTGTGCAATACTTGACCCATTATGATCAAATGGTCAGCCTTGATCTGCTCAGCCTTTCATGTTACAGGTTTCAGGTTTCAGAAATTTATTTAAGTTTTGTGTTTCTTCTTTGAAATCTGGTTATAATTCACATAATTTTCATGAATTTTTACATTTGTCCCTCAATATTTTAATAATATTGATTGAATTTGGAATGAAAAAACAAGAAGCCACATTTCTTCTTTATCCTAGTTTATTACTCAATACTGAAAAACTATGATTTAATAGTCATTGAATGAATATATTTTCCAAAGGCATCTAATATCAAAAATACTTAAATTCTAGTTTAATCTGCTTCTTTTCAAAGCTATGGGCCAATACAAACTATGTGACAAGCCTGACAACAAATTTAAAAATTCGGGGCGCCTGGGTGGCGCAGTCGGCTAAGCGTCCGACTTCAGCCAGGTCACGATCTCGCGGTCCGTGAGTTCGAGCCCCGCGTCGGGCTCTGGGCTGATGGCTCAGAGCCTGGAGCCTGTTTCCGATTCTGTGTCTCCCTCTCTCTCTGCCCCTCCCCCGTTCATGCTCTGTCTCTCTCTGTCCCAAAAATAAATAAACGTTGAAAAAAAAAATTAAAAAAATAAAAAAATAAATAAAAAAAATAAAAATTCATACTGACTTAAATTTTTCTGGGCTGTGGATGAGTCAAATATAAACAGGTGTAGCAGTTTCATTTTGGCCAATACCGACATTCAAATGCTGATCTTTTGAGTTGTCCCCCATAGGATCACCTGGATCCCATCTTTTGTTAGTAGAGAAGGAATTTGAGAATTATCTACAAATGACTTACCGCACTCTATTTTAATTCTCCACTTAAACAATTTAAGAAATTATGTTGGAACAATTTAAAGTCTGAAACTATGTCATATTTACATTTGTATTCTCATGCTGTACCCAGTATCTGGGATTCTATAGATAAATTGGATATATCATTTATCTATGGCCACACAATGCTGCATACTCACCAGCAAAATCTAATGCATATAGCCAAACCACATTTATTTAGTCCACGAAACTGTGGAGTTCAGCTGACCTGATCAAGGCTGGTTCACCCAAATGTCTGGGTTTCTACTGGCTGTTGGTTGTCTCAGCTCTGATGATTGGGGTAACCTGACTTTACTCTCTGTGCCACTCAACCCCCAGTAGGCTAGTCTAAGCATGTATTCATGGAGTAGTGAAAGGACAAGAATGAGCAAAGCCAATTGTGGAACTATCTTTCAAGTCTCTGTGTCGCATGCGTCAATATCCTGTTGATCCAGAAGTCACATGGACAAGTCAAAAGTCAAAGTAGAAGGACATGGCAAAATTACATGAAGGACATGGATACAGAGAGAGGTGAAGAAATGGGGCCATCAATGTAACCAATCCACCACATTAAATGGATAAATGAACAAATGGATTGCACAGTGGTGTGAAAAGCACTGGACTAAGGGTTGGGAGACGTATCCCTGAGGCTCGGCACCATTCATTCTGTTTATTTGGGTTAATTATTTAATCATGATGGACCCTAATTTCCTGATTGGCCTTTTCCAAGCTTTAAAAGCCTTTAATTTGAGCTTTTGATAAAGCTTTTGATAAACTTAATGCTGTACACAGTCTGCGCGAGGAACTTAAGGAAAATTGTTCATTATCCTATCCCTTAGTGAACCAAAGTGGCTAATGTGGATGGCCAATGTTGACTGGCTAATTTTGACTCTATGAATCTTTGAATATTATGTAACCATGTTTAAACTGAAAACCCTCTAGTCTGAATTTGAATATGGTTCAAAGTGCTGAAAGTTCAGTTTCCTGTTTAGGTCTCTAGTTTTTGCTCCTATCTGATGATTCTTTTGAAGCATACAATATGTCAGTATTACATCAAACACTGTGACATCTCTTATATGTGGGAGGTGTTTTAGGGTCCATTGATGTTGTGCCTTAATAATTCATTGTTAGGAGGAATTATTATTCTTAAATTGAGTAGAGAAGCTTTGTCAAGTTTGCATAGTGCTGATAAAAATATGAGTTAATTTAAAGTAGATGCTATGATTTGTTTTACATAAAGGCCACAGGTAATGCAGAAATGAAACCTGCTCTTCATTATACAATATGTGATTATGTAACACATTGTGAAATGCTGTAGAATTTAACTCTAAGAATAAAAACTGAGTGAAAATGTGTTAAATGAGAAATATCTTATAAACTTTACAAGAAGAAAATGATGTACACAAACAGGATTTGAAGATGATTTTCTGAGTCTCAGATGACTTCTTATTCTAGTCACTCAGATTGCCTAAAAAATTCCACACGTAGATTACCAAAATATATTGATGAAAATGTAATTTGTAACTCACTTTGACATTTCGAATGTTCTGATTCAGATATACAGACATAACTTGCCATATGATAAATGTTTATCCTTGTCATATCTCTGGGAAGCATTTATTTTGGACTGATAATTTACTTGTGAAATCAATCATTCTGGCCTGTGTCATTTCAGAGTCTCCATGTAGACAAGAAACTGCACTCAAATCAAGCTGGCCTGGATTCAAAAGTACCAGTTGGTTGTCAAAATGATTCGGCCGATCTGGAGAAAGAGAAAAGCAAGAGTGGGGCAACTGTCGTAGCAGCCACCAACGTAACCACAGGTTAGTTAAGCCACGTGACAATGGTTTTAATTGCCCACATGACAAATGCATAATTTACAGATTGTTACTACCACTTTGCTTGGAATATGTGGCTCTCTCAAAGTGACTGCCTGAATTGCAAATCTCATTGAGATGTAGTTTTAAGTGCAGCGTAATATTAGACACTCACAATAAGTCTGTTCATTGTTCTTTTTTATTTTTTATTTCTATTTTATTCTCTTCATTTATGGTTTTCATGGCCAAGGATGTGTTTTAAGATTGCTTGTATTATCATGACAATAATATTTTTAAATTTTTGCTAGAATTAACAAGAGGATTAATGGCTTCAGAAGAGGTTATAGCAACTGAGATGTCTTTAATTTAAAGATGTGTCAAAGAAGTAACCTAATGTATATGTGAATTATGATGGTTTTGTTTCTAGGGGTGATGATCTGATATTTTTCATCTCTACTAAAAGCAAAACAAGAACAAATGGACTTGTGGAGAAGTTGATAGCATTGCTACTAACTTCCATATTGTAGAAATCTGGGATGAGTTAGCAAGGGAAATGAGAATTTTCTTTCTTGGCAATATTTTAGACACACCAAAGCAGCTCAATTTCTATTACACTTTATCTTTGAAACTTCACATTTCGTTTGTAGGAAAATGGAAACGGTAATTATTCTTAAGCATATGGTTTGTTCCTTTCCCTTCCGTATTTGGTTTTGTAGCTAGCGCTCCTTTTTTTCTCCAAGGGCATGTAAAAGTCAAAATACTAGATATAACGTCTCTGAAGTGTTTCTGCTCAAACTCTGTCTGTACAATCTGGGTTCTTTCATGTAGTTAGCTTACTGACTTTTGACACTCCTATAAAAATATCCCATAGAGCTTTTCTTATTGCCTTTTCATTGACTCTTGCCGACTGATAAAAATGAAATTCTGTGAAGGGCTTTGAAAACCATGCATATTGCAATTCCTGCAAATTTCAAATACTAATCAAGCATGACTATAAAAGAAACAACTACTGCAATGAATATTGCAGTATATTGAGTCTCAAGCCATTACTAATTCATTGAAAACTTTTTGCCCCTTAAGATTATGGATCCTACAAAATACCAGATAACAAAATTCCCAAGATCAAAGTTTATGTTTCAATCATTGGAAAACTTATCTGATCTACCCCTGTGTGTACCTCTTCCTGGGATGGCACTGGACAGCCCCAGCTTTGCACCCTGCATGAATAGTGCAGAATATGTCACAGACCCGGGCAGCACCTGCTTTGAAGATGTCGCCTCTAAGTGATGGCTTAAGAAAAAAGAACACCTGGAATTAAAGTAGTGTTTTTAAGCAAGTGAGACTCCTAACTTTATTTAAGAACGGTAAACTGACCTCTCCTTACTTAGGTTAATTTCAACATACATTTATTTAGAAATTGTTTAGTCCGCTCATCTGGGAAATATCTTCATTTGCTTTCCCATCTGTAATTACAATCAATTACAGAATAAGCTGTCTTCACTATGAATTAAAGTGTATGACAATTCCATATGTAAAAATACAAAAGTTAGGTAACACAGAAATATAATTCTTCAAATTCCATTTTATCTTCTGTAATATATGTCTCTCTATTTGGGAAAAAAAAAGACTCACTGGATCTCTACTTAATATTTACCATATACCAGAGATAGCTCATCTCTGAGTATCCAGAAGCCACCACGGAGATCAGGACAAGCAGATGATACCCTTTCCGAACTTTCCCCTCTTTTTAGTGCTTCGACAGAAGTCAGTAATTTCCTAAATTCTCTTTGGTAAGAATGGCAGTTTTAGAGTCTTTTGTAGCACATCACAGACAAAAGCAAAAACAAAAGCAAAAATCTTATGAAGACAGGGGTGCTGCTTCTCCCAGTTTGCTCCTTTTGGACACCCAAATCTTGTTCTTCCACTTAGATGAAGTGGAACCAATTCAAATATGTATCTAATCGTTATGCTAAAAGGAATTCTTTATTTTAGATTTGAACGTAAATAATGAGAAGATTTGCTGTGAATGGCTGAATGCACATCGTGTGATGAAAGTTTGCACTGCTGCAGCCAGGGGAGCAATAAATTCTACCTCAGGAGCCGTGCTGCCCGGCCTGGCTCTTCTTCCCTAAGCAGCCAATGTAAATGCTTCCCCCAGTCTCCTGCATGACCTTCTTCTGTGGGTCCTTGACTCACTCTGGTTGCTTGGCAGGTTGGCAATGCCCACGTCTTATTTTAGGAACTTTGTTATTAAGCCTGTACATAGGTTTGTCCATAAATTACTAAAAGAACAGTCCTCTAAAAGTGGGATGATTAAGTGCTTAACCTTTGGAGTCTGAACTCAGACTGTTGGGTTTAAATCTTGGCTCCCACTTGCTAGCTGTGTACCATGAGCAATTTGTTAATGTCTCTAGCTCTTTATTTGTAAAACTGAATTAATAATAGGGCTACACCATAGGCTATTTTGGAGACTATATTCGATGAAATAGGTTAAAGGTGGTATAAGACATAATAAACTCCAATTGAATCATAGCTATTATAACTAACTTTTTCATCCTTATGAGTTGATCACTAAGAAAAACTTTGGTTCCAGACAGTGTCTTTTGCAAAGCGCTGGCTGTGACCACCTGTTGTGGCTCTTGTGGTTTCTGAGTTTCTGCTGGCACCTTTTTTCCTTCGAAGAATGTATCCTCCTGGGAAATTCATGGCTCCTATGAATCCCATGTGCCTGGGAGTCAATTGGAAACCTTCTTTGGAGATGAGACACTGACTCCTCTGAGTCCAAGATATAGTGCAACTCTGCAGGGACAGGAAAGCCCTGACCCTCCCTAATGGACATCTTCCCCATCTTAGGTCAGCTGCAATAGCTCAGGAAGAGCACAGGACTTCACTGTTTATTCAGTTAAAGTGCTATTTTTGGTAGGCGACGTGTGTTAAGTACAAATGTTTGTTTTAAGCTATTTGTTTCATGTCTAGTTCCCTGGGTGGGCTTGCATGTGGAACATTTATTGGGAGTGCTCTTGGGAATGACACATATGGCAGAGAAACAAAAGGAGGTCTAGGCAGAGGGGGAAATTGAGTCATAATACAGTCACAACAGAGACCTTAGCTGTTCCCACCGGAAGGCCTGGAGCTGGTATGGCTCTTCAGAGTTGTCCTGTTTTGGGATGAGGGGCCAGGTCTTTATCAGTCATTGGATATCGAGGCTTCAAAGAAGGGGGCAGGACTGTGGGTAAGGTGGCTTCCTTCAGCCAAGGACAAAGTCATTTGGTATCAGAAGATGATCATTTAGTTGTGAAAAGGATCTGGCTATAATGTAGGTCAACTCATTAATTGCAGAGATTGCTTGTGGTGATCCGACTGGCTGAACAAAGATTTCCTCCTTCTGTGTCTCTCTAGAAACTGCACTCTTTGCCAGAAAGGATAATCTTTTAAATATGCCTATTTGTTTTTGCCCTGCATAAATGTGCTCTACTGAGCAAATTCTATATTCTCCTGAACAAAGCTATCAATTGGAATGTCCTTTCTTTTGAAGCTTCAGTTATGTTCTTCTAATTATTCCTCCATCTTTACATTAAATTCATGCCACAACTCATCTTACATAATAAATTCAACTTGTCAAGGAGTGAGAAGACCCCCTAGGTCAGAAAACAAAAAGCAGGTATCCTAAGGTCTAGTTCCAGTTCTGCCATACCCAGATGTCTTGCCCTTCACAGGCCATTTCATTTTTCTGAGTTATAGTTTCCTTACCAAAAGAGGAGGTACACCAAGAAATCTCTGTGCCCTGTCAATGCTGAAAGTATGAGATTCTGTGGCCTATTCTGATATCATAGAGCATGCAGCTTTGGTCACCTGTAAGCAAAAGTCACATAGAAGTGATTCACCACATGTAGGAACCTACATATTGTGGTCAATTAAACAGGGGAAAGAAAACAAGCTCCGTGGAAAAAAAACTCATCACTGAAGTCAAGGTAGAAGCTACAGATGAAGAATGGATCTATCGGAAAATAAATAAATTTTTATATTGAGCTTTAATTTAACCTTAACATTTGATCTCAACTTCAGATTTTACTTGTATTATGAGAAATGAAACATGAGGCAGTTATCTATCGGGACTACTTTGAGAGTTAGATAAAGTTGGTGTTCTGTATTAACGACCTGGACTGAAGAATGACTGAAAACATGCTATCAAGAGATAGTACTTTAGATATCATAAAACATATTTCCGTTTCTCAATTTGAATAAAGGAACACTTCAGTAATTCAGTGTTATTGTAAGTAGTGTGTAATTCTAAGCACAATAATTACCCTTACTCCAAAGACTGGAAAATCTGTTATATAAAATATTGGACAATTTTATTTATTTATTTATTTATTTATTTATTCCATGAAAGACGCCTACTTGCTTATCTTTTCTCTAAATTTTATTTAAATCTAAGTTAATTAACACATAGTGTAATAATGGTTTCAGAAGTAGAACCCAGTGATTCATTATTTACATATAACACTCAGTGCTCATCCCAATAAGTGTCCTCCTTAATGCCCATCGCCCATTTAGCCCATCCTCCTCCCTCCTCCTCACCAGCAACCCTGTTTATTCTTTGTATTTAAGAGTCTCTTAGGGGCGCCTGAGTGGCTCAGTCGGTTGAGCGTCTGACTTCAGTTCAGGTCATGATCTCACGGTCTGTGAGTTCGAGCCCTGCGTCTGGCTCTGTGCTGACAGCTCAGAGCCTGGAGCCTGTTTCAGATTCTGTGTCTCCCCCTCTCTCTGCCCCTCCCCCACTCGTGCTCTGTCTCTCTGTCTCAAAAATAAATAAAAAAACATTTAAAAAAAAAAGTCTCTTATGGTTTGCCTCCCTCTCTGTTTTTATCTTATTTTTCCTTCCCTTCCCCTATGTTCATCTGTTTTGTTCCTGTAATTTCAAACTGGTAATCAAAAAATCTGGTATATCATTCATCCTTCTATTTAACATCAGTGCAGATTTTTCATAATATAAACAAAACAAG